GAAGGAAGGAAGGAAGGAAGGAAGGAAGGAAGGAAGGAAGGAAGGAAGGAAGGAAGGAAGGAGAAATTTTCTACCTATCGCTGGGGGCACAAAGTAATTAAAAAAAAAAAACTCAGTGGAGTTGTGCCCCCTTTCTCCCATCCTCAGAGCCCATGGCCTCAGATATGGCTTTGATCTCCAAAACCTACCTTTCCGAAGCTGATGTGTGGGTCTACACACTCACAATCTCAACACTTGAGAGGGAGTCAGGCGGATCCTGGTACTGGCTGTAGAACCAGCCTCACCTACTTGATGAAAGACCCATCTCAATAACCAAAGTGCCTGAGCAATGGCACCTAAAACTGGCCCCTGGCGTCCATGAGAACACATACCTACACTCACATGAACAGGGACACACACGCACGAAAGTATAACAAATGTATAAAACGAAAAAAATGAAGATCGTGAAGAGATGCTTGGCGTCAGGTCCCCAAAAAGACCTGAGACAAAGGCTCACTGCGTACCCGTGGTTCCCCCAGCCCTAACTCTCCAACCCAGGCCTGAGTTTCACTTTCCTTCCCCCAGCGTCTCTGATCCCTATGTAACTCAGCTGTTTTGGTTCTGTGCCCTCTTGGTCTCTTTGTTCTTGGTCTCTTGGTCCACTGGGCCCCTTTCTTCTTTCTCTTTTAGTGTTCCTCTCTCTCTCTCTTTTCTTCCTCTCTCACTGCCCCCACCATGGCCCTGTTCAGTCTGGACCCTTCCAGATGCCTCTGGCTGTTCCCCCCCTCATATCTACAAAAAGCCTTCTTCTCAACCAGACCTAGGAACGGTTATGTCCTCAATCTCATTCACTTAATAGTTAAGTGTACTTGTTGCTCTTTCAGAGGATCCAAGCTGGGTTCCCAGCATCCACACTGGGCAGCTCACAACCTCCTGTGACTCTGCCTCCCTGGGGACACACGACATACATTGACGTGAGTAAAGAAAGTTATTTATAATACAATGAAAAGGATGTACATTAAACAAATGCTCGATTTCAGTGTATCTGGAGAGGCTAAGACAAGCTTACTAGGAATAAATGGAAAGACTGAGTGGATGCAGGCAAACACTCATTTCCCGGGATGCTGCTGATGTTTGTGAGGTTATTTTGAGAGCATCGGCACTCACAGATTAGGTTGGACTAGAGTCTAGGTCAGTCCACTGAATAGTCACACTCCCGGGAAATTTAGGATGATATAACAATAGATTGCTATCTTACGGTGAGAACTATGACATGCTACAGGTTGGAAAGGCTTCACATTCCAGCTCTAATACTGACTAGTTGTCATTTGGGGCTAGCTAATTTGCCTGTACTTTTAGTTTTCTTAAAAGATTTGTATGCGTCGTAGGGAGAGGGCCCCTTGTTTGTCCCGGCCACGCAGATGGCTTATACCCGAAATAACCACACAGAAATTGTACTAATTAAAACACTGCTTGGCCATTAGCTCTAACTTCTTTTTGGCTAACTCTTACATCTTAGTTTAACCCATCTCTATTAATCTGTGTATTGCCACGTTTGTCTTTCTTGGTCTGGGATACTTCAGTCAGGATGATTTTTTTTCTAGTACCATTCATTTGCCTGCAAATTTCCTGGTGTTCTTTTTTTAACAGCTGAGTAATGGTCTGTTGTGTAAATGTACTATACTTTCTTAATCCATTCCACGGTTGAGGGACATCTCGGTTGTTTCCAGGTTCTGTCTTTACAAACAAAGCTGCTATGAACATGGTTGAGCAAGTCTCTTGCACAAGGACATGTAACCAAATCAGCTGGAAACTGTTTCCAGTTTCCTTTGGTCTCAGGTGTCACCATTCCCGTTCCTCAGCTGCTGCTCCAAGATCTCTCATCATTTCCCTTCTTCCGTCATTTCCAGGAAAACAGACTCCCCAAATGCCTGCACAGCATCAAGGTCCATGGGTGAAGCTGGGCACTGTTTCCAGAGTGGGAGGCTGACTGATCTCTCCAGTCACTTCACCCAGAGTAGACTTGTGATTTTCCACCTTTCGCCTCTATCCATGGGCTGGAGGGTTTTCTCTTCTCTGGTCAAAAGTTAACATTTCCTGAATGCTTCTGTGCTCAATTAGATGAGGAGCCCACGAGTGCTAAATGCTTTTTTCAATCTTCTCACTGACAGGAAGTGGCTACTGTAATGATCCCACCTTTGCAGAAGACTGAGTATAGATAGGCCCTGATGGTCCCAAGATCACACACCTTCCAAACTTGCAAACGCATGGTGGGTGTTTAGTTTGGTTTCAGGGTTCTACACTGTGCTCCTTCTGGGTAACTGAATAAAATAACTGCCATTTAGTTAGCAAAAGGGGCAGTCAATGGCTTTAAATAATCTTATAGAGAATTGCATGTGCTCTTTCCTTCTTCTGTTGTAATTTTGGCAAATCACCTCTTAGAACTGCAAGGCCTTGGAGGACCATGCTCAGGAAAAAGTGGTGACAGGATGTGAATTCACACATGACATTTCTCTTCTAAAGAAACTCTAAAAAAATTACTTCTGCCCGAAAAATTAGGTCTTCCTCCTGCCTGATACTCTCCTCCCACCGTGTTCCTTCCTCTGAAACATTGTCAGCTTCTGACAATGTTCCTCCCAAAGATCTGAAGAAAGGATTTAACTAAATGGCCTGTGAAAGGCACAAGAATTGTGGAAAAAAATCAAAATGATGGGACTGAGTGGCAAGGAGTTCACTGTGTAGTGGTTTGGGAAGGTTTGTGAGCAAACAATGCTTGTACTAAATGAGTATAAAGAGACTCAGGCACTTAGACATCTAGAGACAGCGCCTTCCAAGTGTGTGGAGCTGTGAGTGCAAAGGCTGAAGGAGAAGGAAGCAAGCACCTATATCTGACAAGAAAGGCGCTGGTGAAGGAGACTCACCAAGAGACAAGAAATGGGAGTAGTGAGCACAGGCCAGGTGACAGTCAGCACCATGCCATCTGAATCAAATTCCGAGGCTACAAAGCAAGGAAATGACCTGATTCAATTTTTACGGTTTTGCTTTGAATTTTTCCTATAGTTGACTTTGTCAAGGAAAATGTTATTTTTATTGGCTGTAGGAGTTTTCTGGTGGCATTGTTAGGGTCTTTCACATATAGGATCATATTTGCAAAGAAATATAAATTGACTCTTCACTTTCCCATATATAACTGTCTTTCATAGTGCTAGAAGGCGCTATGCATGCTACTGGGAGAAACAAATAATCACCAATCACACCCAGCTGTGAACCCTGTGAGTTACAATATTGATGAGCCTGGCAAGACAAATCCATTGGTGCAATAGTGGTATGAAGATCATGGGGGTAACCAACCACCTTCTGACTGGATTTGAGGTACTCTCCACAAGATGAAACCCATCCCTGGTTTCATCACTGGGCTAAGAACCTATGACTAGACAGGCCATAGACCCTAGGGGAGAACCTACTACCTCTGTGTTGTCAAATAGACATGCTATTAAACTAACTCCTGTAACATGAGAGCCTTCTTGTTGGGATTTCTATCCTGGCCAGTTCCCACAGCCATTTAACCCTCCAAAAGAATCACACAGAAAGTCTGCATTAGTTATATACTGATTGGCCCATTAGCTCAGGCTTCTTATTAACTCTTATAACTTATATTAGCCCATTATTTTAGTATATGTTAGCCACATGGCTCAGTACCTTTTTCAGTGGGGCAGGTCACATCTTCCTTCTTCTGTATCTGGGCAGGACTGTGGAGAGAGCTTCCTTCTTCCCAGAATACTTCTGTTCTCATTGTCCCGCCTTTATTTCCTGTCTGGTTGTCCCGCCTATACTTCCTGCCTGGCTACTGGCCAATCAGTGGTTTTCTTTTAACATAATTGACAGAATACAGACAATTCTCCCTCACCAAACTCCTAATGAGTTATCATTATACCCACAGATAAAAGCATCTTTCATCTTTTATATGAGAAGCTCCTGTTTGCAGTAGATAGTGGTTAGCACAGAGATCCACAACTGATCAAGATACAGAGAATAAAATAGATGGCACAATGCTCAGCTCTAAAGGGAACATATATACTGCACCCTTCACACACACACCAAAGCTAAGGCTCATTGCAGAAGAGGAGGTGGAAAGAGTGTAAGAGCCAGCAAC